AGAAAGCTCTTCAAGTAATTTTTATACCCTTTACTAATTTTTTTGCTAGAGTCTATAGATGTTATTGTTCCTGCATATGCATGTTTATGGTATTTTGAGTGTTATATAATTGTAGTTGCAGAACTCTGATGACTCTGGTTGATGGTACAATGATGATGGTGAGTTTGCGTGACTTGGTGCCAAAGAAGGAAATGTAGACATGAAGACAGAATCTGGGAAAGTGGGAGCTGATAATCTGATTTGGGAAAATGTGATCACTGACGATGAAACCCAACAGTCAAACTTCATCAAAGACAAATCTGAAGTATAAGTTAGTTTGGTTTATGAACTTGTAATAAGTGTGAGTGATCCCTCCCTGCAGAGGGCCTCACCAAACAGGAGGAGACAGGGCTATTGTCGGGTGTGCTGGGAGGGTGAAGTTCAGGTAAGACTAAATGAAACAGTGTTGTGATAGGCTCCAAGCACAGAAAGGCTGTCAGTAATATTTTATTAACATTTAGTAATATTCTATTATTAACATTTAGTAATATTTTTATTGACATCAGCTTAGGGCTGAAAGGCAGATTCAGAGTCTCTATACAATTAAGAGAAGTGCAGAATGCTGTGTCCCCAAATCCTTTAACTGAAGGTCTGCACCTGGGCTGGAAATCAAGGCTGCTTCCCTGTGTCACAGTGACCCATAGTCTCCTATTTCTAGGCAAGAGTGAGTGTTTCCTTCTCACCGATTCTCAGACAGCTAAGTTTTTGACAGCCTACCTATGATTTTATTCATTCATTCATTCATTCATTCATTCATTCATTTATTTATTTATTTATTTATCAAGGCAAGGCAACCTTTGGTTGATCTCACAGATTGCAAGGAACTTGTCAGCTTACGATCCCTTATTTTTTTTACTTTTTTTTCAAGGAACTTGTCAGCTTACGATCCCTTATTTTTTTTACTTTTTTTTACACCTACAGCATCTGGTCTTCCTAGGTGGTCTCCCATCCAAGTACTAACCAGGCCCAACACTGCTTAGCTTCTGAGATCAGATGGGATTGGGCTTGTTCAGGGTGGCATGGCTGTAGATAGCCTATGGTTTTAGAGAACATGTTTTCTTAGCTCCTTGTCCTTGGTGTTATTAACTAAAGCAATTTTTACAGATCCACTTTAGTATGACAAGGTGTAAAAGAAAAATTTTGACTGAGGCACCAAAGATAATAGAAGTAAAATTCTAAAGTAATTGCCAGAGCAGAAAGTAAATCTCAAAGGAAATATTTTAGCCCCTTGGTGACTCTTAAAAATCCTCCACTCAAAATAGGATCATAAAAGGGCGGAGGAAATGGAATACAGGAAAGGATCTGTGAAAAGTGTTCTTCAGGACAGCAATGCTGAGTCCCAGCTAATCACTCACCCAAGATTTCCCACAATAATCTCACTAGAGAGGGGGTGTCAACAGGGCCATGAGGGCAACTTGACTGGTATTCTCTGGTATTCGGAGTGTCTAACTTGTATCTGAGATGTTCAAAGTTGAGAGGCTGAAGGTATTGGCTTGAGGCAGCAGTTCAGAGAGAGAGCTCAGAAAAGAGGAGAAAGAACACTCAAGACTCGTGTGCTCAGAAGCCAGCTGCATTTCCACTACTCATCGGACTAAAGAATGTACGAGCATTTCCCGAGGACCAGATGAGAACCATTCATGAGGGAGAGCTGAGCTGGAGAGGTTTAAGTCCTGCCCAAGAGGAACACTGGGAGAGGTCAAGGGACCACTCCCACCTCCTCTCCAACAGAAGAATTTATGTAAAGTGGTCTGCGGGGAACCAGAAACCAAGGGTAGAAGTGGCAGCCAGACAAAATTGCATTGCCCAAGCCAGATGATTCACTTTCCAGTCTCTGAGACTGTCAGAAAGCACCCAAGGGGGAAGTGCAAGGTTAAGTCATTAGCCAGGCGCAGAGAGCAAACCCTCCTGGTGACCCTACCAGTTAGTATGAACTTGCTATCCTCAGACTTTCTCCACCTCCTTTTGTTATGAGTTGGAGGAGGATCTGTTGGCATAGAAAGAAGGCTCCTCTTCTCCTTTCCTGAGAACATGGCCTGCCTGCTCCAACACTAGTTGGGGAAGTGGAGGGAAGGCCTATATTTGAATGAAACTTGAAGTGTTGATTAAAATGCTGGCATTTGCATTAAAATTTCTAGATTAAAACTGTATTTTGTGGCTTAAGCCAATCAAAGGATTTTTCTTACCTAAGAGCCCTCATAAAAGTTTTGGGACTACCCATGTGTTCATCCAGGTGCAGGGGAAGATCTCTCACTGAATACATATGGAAGGGACAGTGGAAGGCAAAGGGTTGCCTTCTGCTTCCATCTACTTCATCGGTCCTGCTTGTTCTACATGCTAGTCTCACAGGAGCTAAGAGCAATGTTCACGGGTGTTCACCAACATGGCAAGTGCTGTTGCTCTTTGAATAAACAGGTTGAGAGGTATATTTAGGTAGGGATGTTGGGAATTAGTAGACCCAAAAGGGCATGGCAACTGGAAACTGGAAGAGACAAGGGTACTTCACTTCTGGAAGCCAACTGAAGTAGAGAGATTTCAAGAGATTTTGAGAAAGCTGGCAATCACCATAGAAGGATTTGGCCTTGGCCTCTGAGCTTCCACTTTAGTGTCAAATGATAGGCAAAGACTTTCACTGAACAGAAAACAGAGCCTCTCACTGACTATTGAAAATGTGGGGGACCTGATGATGCCTATCTGATAACCGGCCCAGTGCCTAATCTCTGGGAAATAACTGCCCATCAACAGGAATGGACCCCAGGAGCCATGACTGTGATGCCCCTCCCCCATTACCTCCCTGATCATAGTGATGGGGGAGGGGTAGACCAGGCTGGGGCAACCATATTTTCTCTCCGTAGAATTTGGGATTGGGTCAGGGACATTGATTCAGTCATTGTGTATGGAGGGAGGGGGCACTCTGGGGTAGCTTCACTCTCATTCAGCCAGGGAAAGCTGTTTTCCAGAGAAGAATAGAGCAGAATTATAGAAAGAGGTAAGTTTGAAGAGAGAGAAAACTTCAGCTGAGTTCCTCCTGGCTTTTCAGGTCCTGGCTCCTAGCCTTCCTGAGAACTGACTTATTTTTGTCCTGGGATTCTATAAGATACCCCTCTATCTTTATAATTAATTTTTGAACTCTATTATTGGGGTACAGATTACTTTCTAGTGGCCTTGAAACACTGTGCCATACATTTTTAAGATTACATTTTAAATTTATTTTTTTGTTTATTTTGTTTTAGTTGCTGCATCTTTTGATTCACCTGCCACTATCAGCTGGATGCACCGAGATACTCTGACGTTTCCTCTGGTGGCCCTCCATGGAGCGGGGCTGACTCTCCTCCCCTATAGTTTTGCTAACAGTGTAAGTTCAACTTATCATCTTTTTTCCCCCTATATATTTAAACATAATTAAATCTCGACACTAAGTTACTTGCTCAGTGTGCTCTGGGACACGTTTTCAGACTTACCTTATTCTTAGAGAAAAAGAGAGAAAAGATTTGTCCTACTATTTATATCAGTTTCCTCATCCTTACTTCTTTACAAGTTCATCTTTACCTAAACATTTCTTTCTTTCATAGGTTTGATTTTTGTCAATCTCCACTTTTTTACTATTAAATGAATAGAGTTGCTGGGGGAAATGCTTCGTTTTGAATCTTCTTATTTCAGAACCTCATGGAAATGACAAGAAGAACACAGTAAGACAGCCAGAGAGAGTAAAGTGAGTGTAGTCCCCAGGTGAGATATGTTTCACTTGTTCTAAACTGACTAGGGTGACTTAGGGCTTGGCTGATGTGGTCTGAGAGCTCAGGTTTTTAACTATGGGTCATTGATAATTATCCCAAGACCCTCTTCTCTAATTCTTTCAGTTTTCAAAGTGCGAGTCACATCTGGAAGAGCTGTCACGTTCTTATAATTCCCTGCATTAGGTTGAATATTCCAATTTATATCTTCTGAATTTCAGTAGTCTACTTTTTTTTTGGTTAAAGCTTTCTTTGGTACTTCGGATTCTAAATTCTTCCCGTTAGGGAGGATCTGTTGATAGTGTAATGTATTCTACACTGTGTATTAGATAAATAGTAGTTACTCAGGAAAGAGTATGGGGGAACCTCAGTCATATTTGTAAAGTTCTTTAAGAGATTTGAAAGGGGCTGTTACCAGAACATATTTTTTGATGGCTCTCAGCTGTTGTGTATATTACTGTATTTTCTTCTACTGTGGAAGAATTAGTCCTCTGGATATCCTTTACCATTCTCTGCACCTTACTCTTTTTCTATTTTTTTAAAAAAATTTCCCCCTAATTATAAAATAATACATGCTCAATATGGAACACAGAAAGGTAATAAAAAAAGTCACGCATACTCTCACCAGGTGAAAACATTTCATGGTTTTTTTTTTTTTTTTTTGCATGACAACTTTCCCTCTAAATCTTATGCATTTAAAATATACCCACGAGACTTCTCAAAATCCAAGCGATGTCAAAGATTAGATGTTATTCACCAAGTTCATATGGAAATCAAAGAATCGCAGTAGGGTAAGGAAGTTCGTACCCGGCAAAGGAGCCCGGGTATCCGGGGTTCTCTCCAGCTAGGCTGCAGGTTCATAAAACACCGCACATTCTGCAGCCGCCTGGGAATCAGCGGGTGGAGGCGGAGTTTCCGATGATTGAAGGTAGGGGGAGAGAAGCTACACAACTGTCACCAATCAGGGCTCTGCTTTGCTTTCTCTATCTACCAATCAGGGAGCCTTGCTGGTGAGGCTCTCGTCAAATCTGAGACGCCTACCCCTATCGCAGCCTATCAGCAGGCGCCTCTTACAAAGCGTTCGCGGCGCTCACGCCCCGCGGGCGGTGCGGCCCCGCCCCGGTCCCCGCCCCCCAACCGTGGCCCCGCCCCGTCGAGGGAGGGGGTTGAATCGGTTACTTGCTCGGGTGGAGGTGGGGGCCCGGCTCCGCTGGGCTCGTGCGTTCTGCGCCTGCCGGCTCCTGATTGTCCTTTGCGGCGGCCGCAGTCGCTACCTCCTTGCCTCCGAAGCTAGGGCTGCAGGGGCCACAGCGAGCGCTCTTCCCGCGGGCCACGGCTGCTCAGAGCAGGTAATGGGGCGCCAGAGCTGCAGCGCCGATGGGAGCACGGGGCGCGGTGTGGGCAATGGGCTCTGCTCCCCCTGCTGCTCCCGCCGGCGGTAGCCGGGCCGAGTCACCAGGAGCCTCCTACCCGCCTCGAGGCGTCTCGGTCTAGGAGCCCGCGACAGTGGCGGCACCTTGCGGAGAGGTGGGGGCGGGGTCGGGCGAGGAGCAGCTGCGGGCGGGACCCCTTGGGGACCTCGCAAGGACTCGGGGTAAGGCGGCCGGGCCCTAGGGAGGGAGGGAGGACATGCAGGTGGAGGGAAAACCGTGGAGTTGAGTCAGAGTCAGGCAACCAAGGTAGAAGGACCTACTGATTAGTAGCGATAAGCTGAGTGGCTTTTTTTTTTTTTAATTGTGAAAGGTATCTCTACTTGGGTAGTGTTAATTACAAATTTTCTGGAGATAGGTGCTTTGCATTGCGATTTACACATTAACATCGCTTACTTATTCCTTTTAAATCAAAAGCAGCCTTTAACGTGAACTTCTTTGGGGGCTTTCCCTCAAGTGGCAAGTAGACCCAGCAGGGTGACTCACCTTTGCGCATTAGTGAGGAGCGGCGCGATAGGAACGAGGGGGAGGAGTGTTGATGAGGAATGCCTGTGCAGGTTTGAAAGGATTGTGGGGGTGGGACCTTGTTTCTGTCATTCTGTCGTGGGTGAGAGTAGAATTATGATTCTTTTTTTCTCTTTCTAATTTTTTAAAAAACAGCATTAAAAAAAACTTTAAAAACAATCTTTGGGTTTTAGGGATGCACCTGCGACGCATGCAGACAAGTCCTAGGCAGTTAACATGATTTACTTATAAAAAGACACCTTGTTGCTGTTACCTCTGACGTGCCTAATAACTTTTCATTCACCAATTTGTTCACAAGTGAATTGGTGAAGGTCACCGAGTTTTAGCAGTAAAGGCACAGTGAGGACTTTTGGAGCCGTGTTCACCCCTTCCAGGTGCATTCTATTCTGCAAGCCAGTACTTCCATTTAGGTTTTTAATCTAGAAGCTCACTCATAGCATCGCATCAATTTTAGTGTCCTCCTACTCTCTGGAGGCAGGTAGTGTTTATCATACCCACTTTACAGGTTCATAAACTGGACACCCTAGAGATGAAAGGAATTATGCCCCAGGTTACTTGACTCCTACTCGATTCTGTGCCTCGACTGGATTTAATCCCAGATCCAGTAAGTGCTCTGCTTACCCATTTGATCACGTGTTCACGAGTCAGAGCTGGAGATGGTTATTTCCAAGTAAAGAAATGTTGTCTCTTAGATCTTTTTCCCCCCTTAGGTTGCTAAGATAGTTTGAATCACCCCAGAAAGGCAATTTTTCACACAGGCAAAACAAAACAAACAAAAGACCTAGTGGTGCTATGTGAAAATCGCTTTTAAATTTTGGCAGGTGTTCCAAATTAGAGAACCTTATTTGTTTTGTATCACTGAGTGTCGGTGCCGGTTTTTTTTGTTGTTTTGTTTTTATTTGACTTGAAATAATATACATAAGGCAAATAAAAATAAAGTGTAATGTATTTTGGTCATGACATACGACTTTGTTTCGGAAATTTTTTACAATTTAGTAGAAGGGTCGAAATGTAAAAATCATTTCTTCATTAGAATAACTCAAGCAAGGGAGTGTAGGAGTTAATGGAGAGCAGGCTTAGATGGGTATTTGGGAGGATACTCTTGAATGATGTCAAGGCTTGGGGAACTCTAGAGAATTGTTAGGTTATGTTAATTAGTCATAGGAAGATGGAAGTGTCTTATGAATTACTGAATGGAACTGTTCTAATGAAGTAATCCCTTGTTTTCATGGAAGATGCTTCTGTTGCATGTAACATGTATGTTTTGATGTAATTCATCCATACAAATTATAAAACCTCTCTTACACAGGCCCTACCATCTAGCTCTGACTCAGTTTGTTTTTGCCTTAATGCCTTTACTTAATTTTTCCTCTCTTGTCAGATTAAAACTTCTAGTTCCCAAGCAAAAATTTCCATAAGGAAACCTTGATGGTCTGTTAATTTGTATGGAAAATGAGTCCGTTCTTGTGATGATCACAGCTCACTTGCAGTGTGGGAAATTGGAAAGAGATTTAGGCTGTTTGAAAAGTAGTTGCTTGTATTCTTACCTAAGATTTCTGCGCTTTAAAAAAATTAATTACATTACACGACTTCCACTAGATGGTGCACTGGGTGCTGCTTATTGGAGATTTCAATCAGATTTTTATCTTACAGCATTTCATTGACAAAGGTACAAATGTAAGGTTTCTGTCATAATTACAATTCAGAGAATTGCAATGAGTGATTCAGGTCAGTTTTATTAAATGAGATTATTTGGAAGGAAACAATAGTTTAAAGTGAAGGAAATGGTTAGTAGTTTTAGAATAACTTTTGCTAAAGAGCTCTCTGGTTCTCTCTGTGGTCAGGAACCTAGACCAGAGTGTGGATTTATTGGTCCTTATGTATGTACACTTGAATTGTATTTTTTAAAGTGGCTTTTGAATTGTTTAAATCTTATGTAAACCGTGGCTGAACTATTTGAACACAGTTTTATGCTTTGCTTTCTTTGATTACTAATTCTTGGAAAGAAGTGGTAGAATAAAGTGGGTACATATAGCAAGATTACTTAATACCAGCTATGAGCAAATACTTAAGTTATTGAAACTTATAAAAGTTTTTATTTTTCTTGAACGCTCACTTAATATCTCTTTCTCATCTTTTAGGAGAGTATGATTATCGCCTTGCTTCGCTTATGAACTTGAAAAGAGCATTCTCTCCCGCTGATGGTAGAAGTTGTTAGTCAGGCTTGTTTGTTCCTGATTGGGTAGCTTGTTGAGATTGTTCCAAAAGGGAGATGAGAAAACATAGCTGCTGCTTTGATAAAAAGCAGTACCCATTTCAGGTATAGTAATGGCAGTGTTAGTGGAGAATAAGGACTAGTTAGGAAAATTGCATTTTGCGAGATGTTTTGCAGAAAGCACTGGACTTGTAAAAGGCGGGAGAAAAAGTAAATGAGACCGTCTTTAGGTGGTTGGTGTATGTTTATTTCAGTTCCATTAAACCTTGTATGGGGAGGAGAACTTTAATACTTTGTTTCTTGGAAGCAGCTGTGGTTCTCAGGGAATTTGATGGTGATTTGGGAGGGGGAAAAAAAGTAGGTGTCATTCCTTCTAGGAAGGTAGCTCCCTGCAGTGCTGCCAGTCCTGGGTGAGTGTGAGCTGGTAAAGTGGGTGGTTGTAAGTAGCTAGGCAGATTAAAAACTTGCCTGAGCATGGGCTTCCCAGAGCTTTCTGCACCTTTGACAACTTTAATCAAGTCAATAAGCATTTTAACTCAGGTTTACAGCTCCTGCGGTCTGGACTTGGGCTAGTTAACTCTTCAGTCTTCAAATTTGTTTTTAATTTTAAAAAATAAGTAGAACCCTGAACTTTATAAAATTAATGACTTGAGTATGCAAGTGAATAGCCTAAAAGAGTTATCTGGCAGATGGTAGGTTTTCAATTCTGGTAGGTGCTTGAATATACTAATGATACTCTTGTCTTCCCCACCCTTAAACAAAACCTTTATTAGAAATAGACAAACTTGAATACACAGAACTGCTCAGATTGAGAACTTGAGTTGGGAAGAAAGAAGCCTCTTGGTCTAAATATGGCTTTCAAAAGAAGGGTCAGGTAGGATGCTGTAAAGAGCTGGTCTAGGTAAGGGACAGGGACAGCTTCACTTTTTTGCTGTAGTTTATGTGGTAAAATCATCCGATTAGTTTTACTCATGATAAAAACATGCTGTTTGAAAGACGGGGCCTATATATGTTTATTTAAAGCAATCTGAATCTTGAGAAATATTTCTGAAGGTTGTAACTTCTTTTTTGGCAACTGGAAAAGTTTGTTGAAGTGATGGAATTGAGCCAGGGATAAAAAGAATTATGAAACTATGGACCAAGATTTATCAGGCTTCTACTGCTGATATTCCAAATAGTTTTTTTGTCTTCCAAATATGGTTTCTGATTTAACTTCTGGGGATTCTTTTTGGCCCTTTGTGCTTTTTTCATGTTTGGGATTTAGTTCAGAGACCCATCAGAGTAGACTTTTTTAGATGGTCTAGTCAGGGTACAGACTGAGTGTTTTGTCAAGTTTAGGGGAGGAGTTGCTGTGATATAGGAAGTGAGGAAATGAATTAATATTTCGATATGTTTAGAGTCATTTTAAATAGGATCAAAATTTCACATTTTGGCATTTTCAAAATGGTAGTCATTTAACATACATTAAGTTGCGTAAGGAAACTTTAGGCTAGTGGTTCTCAAACTTCAGTATGCCTCAGAATCTCCTGGAGGGCTTGTTGAAATTTATGTTGCTGATTCAGTAGGTCTGGGGATGGGCCCTGAGATTTTGCATTTCTAATAAATTACAAGGTAATAGTGATGCTACTTACTGGTCCTGGGACCGCACTTTGAAAACCACTGAGAAGATTTCAGAAGGAAATATGAGTGTAGTGGTTGGGAACACAGGCTTCGAAGTTTGAAAGATCCGGATTCAAATCCGTGCTCTGCCACTTACTAGATTTTTGACTTCGGGCAAGTTTCTTAATTCTGTTTTCTCATTTCTGACGTGGAAAAAATATAGCGTTATGTTTCTGTGAGTATTAAATGAACTCAAGTGTGTGTAAAAGCTTATAGAACAGTGACTGGCAAGTTGCAAGCATGCAGTAAATGTTGGCTTTTAATCATAAAGATCAATTAGTATATGTGATAAACAGAATCCTGAATCTTGTAAAGCGGAGGTATGCTCCTCAAGGACAAAAACTAATATTCTCATTTTTTCACACTGCTGTGGAAAAGATACACAACTACTCAATTTCTGTTTAACGAATGAAGGAAAAGTTTGTGGATCTTAGTAATTTTCCAGAAACATTGTTTAGAGACATAAAATATTTACATGGCTGGTGCTTTTTTTTGCCTAAAAATGTTTATATTGGTCAAA